TTTCACCACCGCTGCATCTCTGGCCTGTACCCCCAGTTCTGTATGCAAAAATAAATAAATCTTTTTTAAAAAAAGAAATTTTATATGTAGTATTTCATTTTAATTTTATAAAAGGAAAAATAAAAAGCAACGTTGAAATAGGTGAGATAGGAATTAACACCTTTATAATCTTTCTTATCTAAAGCCGCAGCCCTTCTGACTCTAAGTTCTTCTGCATTTTAAGGCAGCTCTCTGAACTTATGTTTCCCTGCTCTTGGTGATATAGCGTGTTGCTGCCATGCTGCTTTTAATTTATAGGATTATACTATAGCAGTGTTCACTCTATATCTAGCCTGTAGAGCATTCAAATAGAAGACAAATGTTCTTTGGGCCAAAGTACAACCTCCTCTGTCCTATGACAGAGTTGTCCTTTGGGAAGGACAGGTGTGGAATAGTGTCACTGACCAGCTTAGGTCTAAGAACATGTGAGTAAAGTCCAAGTGGTAGCAGGTAGTCTGTCCTCCATCATATCTTGCTACAGCTTTGTACACTCCCTCCTACTCTTGCTCTATTGTCATGAATTATCCTTTTCTTTTACTTTCTCATGATTACCAGACTTTTGGTGATTAAATAGTATTTTCACTATCCCTGAAAATATTTTTGAAAACTCCTCAGATTAATTTACAACCAAGGGGATAAAAGCATAGTCTGTGTTGTCTATTTTATGTTTTATCAAAAGCAAGTGAAACAATATATTGTGACTCAGTAATCAGCAATAGGAATTCAAACCCAAGGATTTTTTTTGGTTGTTAATGTGGGAGATATTTGCCTATGAGGAAAGGACTCGATGGAATTTTAAATTCCTCTTTAACTTTTTGCTCTCATCTTTCATTTGTCAAATCTTAATCTTCAGACTAAGTCTCCTAAGTGTTTTGTAAGCGATCTAAAGTAGAAGTAGTTTAAATTTATCATCTGGTTACCTCATTACAAAATACACAGAAATATTCTTTTGTTTGTTTGGTTTTAAACACTGCTACTGGATAAATATCAAACATTTTTCACTAATAATAATAACAGCAATACACCAACATGAAAACACTATCACTAACATGAAAACAGGAACATTCCCCCAATTGTTTTTGTTGACATTGACATCTTTTGAGTTATTTCCACCTCGATTTAGCTATTCCTATTTTATCATTTGAGTAAATCTGCTTTGACTTTCTGCTAAAAGAGGTTAAGTCAAAAGACAAGGACTAGTAAATACTCTTTCACAGGAATATCCTTTTTTGAAACGAGAATGTTGGTCCAACATATTTACTTTTAAGAAAGACTGTGCCAACAATTGGTGAGGAATTTTTGAGTGTTTCACAGCTCCTGCGTTAAGCTCTAGATATACCTAGGTGTTGCCACCTGCCTTTGTATATTGTTCTTCTGGTGTCAGCATAAGGAATTTTTTTCCTCTTAATCTATTAATACCATCCTCTATTATTTTTGTCATTCTATGGCATTTTGTAAAGTGATATTTTTGTGGAAGAAGTCTCTTTTTTTGTTAACAGCTATATGTGCTTAAGTGATTTGGGCCTCTTGGTGCATCATAGTAAACAAGATTTGTTATAGAGTTGCCTTTTATATCCAGGTAATGGCTGTGCTTTCCTTGGCACATTATAGCTGCTCTTTAAATGGTATTTGTCATGTATTTTAAATACATAAATTAATTAAATGAAATCCAATTCATAATTTTTTTTTTTAATAGAACCTTGTATTGTGTTAGGTGAGGAATCAAGATATTGTTAAGACTGTTACTGGGCTAAATAAGTCCTCTGTTAGCTGGCAGGTAATCTCTCACATATAAACTATGTTACTGTGGGAGATACTATAGTAACATTAGAAACACAAACATAGTACAATAGAAAGAATTTAGAATAACAATTTAGTTATTCCTGGCAGGAATGGATATGCAATAGCATATAGGCTCCCTTGCCATTAGATTTGATCATGTCCTTGGAGGTTGAGGAGGCCAAAGAAGAACCTTCTTTTGTTTCAATATTTTCAGGATACACCTGAAAGATAAAATAGGTTTGCTCTCTGGCATTACCACCACAGACACTTTTGAATGTTTGCTTCTTTTATAACAAGGGTTGTTATGTTTCCCTGAGACCCATGCTCACTGTGTTCTGTGACTTCTCTATTCAGAATTGCCTGAAGTTCCATCAATGGAGGAGGAAGTCGAAGAAACAGAGTCTTGGGCAAAGCCTCTTGTCCACCTTTGGCAGACGAAGCCCCCCAACTTTGTGGCTGAGCAGGAGTATAATGCGGCCATAGCCAAAATGGAGCCCTACTGTGCCATCTGTGCTCTCCTTATGCCCTACTACAAGGTAATGAAGGGGAGGCTGGCCCCATTCAGGTTTCCTTTCACTGCAGTAATTGGTGTATGACTGTGAACACAGAGGTGATGCATTGTAGGGTTAATGCAAGAGAAATATTACTACTTATATAGCAGTGACCATCAAAAACTGCAAGTAGAGTTTCCAAGTGCCACTTCAGAAACATTTTATGACTATGTTTTATCATTTTTGGCTGCCTAGGCTTATTTCAATCAGTGAGCAATTCCAGCCCTTTTTTCTTACCCCTTTCACCATGAAACACACTTAAAGCTTAAAGATAATAGAAGCTTATGAGTGAGAACTTAAACCTAGCCTCTGTTTTATATTTGAAAATACAATTTCTAATAATACAGATATTAGCCACTGACACATATTTAAAATGTTACTGTTTTATCTTCCCATATATAACATACAGAAGATACTGCAGGACTCATTAAAAACTGTTCACCTTCATCAGCCAGCAATGCATGATACTGTTTTCAAATATTATTCCACATACATTATATTCAGAGTCTTATCTCACAGAGAGCCACATTCTCCAGTATAAACACAAGTAAAATGAATCTTTAGTAACCCATTAAGGATAGAATTACATTTTAAGACAAAATTCATTATAAGTATATAGATGTGAACGTTTTTCTAGGATATGTTTTGCTAATAGAATCAAGAGTATTAGTTTGTCAGAAAAGATATGATGCATTTTTGCATAGATAACAGAGATATACATCATGACTTTTATGATAACCCAATATTATAAGCAAGATTACATCACTCTTAGATTAATAAAGTAATTCTATCCCCTCTTTTCAGATCATGAAAATGTGATTTTCATGACCTTTGTTAAGTAGAGGAACTAGTTTACTCATTCGTCTTTGAACGTGACACAGGTGAATGACAAACATTATTTCTGTTTTTCTTTTAGCCATCATGTTTTTGTCTTTTCTTGAAAAATTTTATCCATTTTAGGATTCTTATTTCTCTATCATAATCTGCCTGTATATTTTCCCAGTCATTATATAGATTCCAACTAAAATGCTAAGACGTCAAGAAAATCTTATGACGTCTCTTGAGGTAATGACCCACTATTTGCAGTTTCAAGTAGATATTAAATAATTTTGTACATTTGCTGAGAATGACAATGTTCTTTGTACATTTTTTGTCTTGCACTTTTAATACTTATGTGAGACAAAAATTTTAACAAATCCTTCCATGTTATTGCACTGATTAAAACTTAGGTCTTTTAAAAACACTCCTTCAGGTGTAAACAGGTAAGGTTCTTTAATAAATGAAGGCATGTCTGTTAATCTAGTGAAAATAAAGATGCACAAAAAAATTCATTATAATTTTCATGAACTTTTTATGTGAGAAATTAGTTTTAGTAGCTCATTACTCTTGTACCATCAAATAAACAGAATACGACAGATAGACAGGAAATAGCCTCTTGTTCCTATAGCTTAATATCTGCATTGCAATCTGAGGAAAGGAAATGATAAACTCTTTAATAGTTGAGTTGAGGAGAACAAGAGGAATAGCAGAAGCTGGATGTTAGTGCCTGGAGCAACTGTTAGTGAATGGATAATGACTAGAATAAATGATGAGTCCTTTACCATGTTTTTCAATTATGTGGAAATAATTGTGTTTTTCAGCCAGAGAGCAGCAATGAAGAAAATGATTCTAAATGGGAGACAAAATTAGATGAAGTGCCTACTTTGGGAGGAAAAACCAAACCCCTTATTCCAGAGATGTGTTTTATTTATAGTGAAGAAAATATAGAATATACTCCTCCTAATGCCTTCTTGGAAGAGGATGGAACAAGTCTCCTGATATCCTGTGCAAAGTGCCGTGTGCAGGTTCATGCAAGTAAATGAATCTCTCATTCATCAGTAACTTTCTAGTGTTTCCCATAGTCTTTATTTCTTACTCTTTTGTAACCTGCCAATTCTAATGCTTTAAATTATTGACATTTTTATTGTTTATATTTTCCCTTCTCACTTTCCTCTGATAAAAGTATGAATGGGCATAAACCAACCTTTTTGAACAGTTTTATGTAGGCAGTGGAGAGCAGGTCTGCTTGTTTGTTTGGGATCTAGACATAGGGTCATTTTGGGGGTCCTTTCACATGCTGGAGTTTGAGTTATTTTAAGATATAGCTTGCAATATCTGAATTTTAATCTCATACTGATTCATGACTCTGTGGGTTTTAAAGAGAAATGAATATTCCTTTGGTAATTTGAGGAAGTTTATTCTTATTAAATTTAATTGTGATTTAAGTTTTTAGTCTTTGTAAAAGTAGAAAGATCTCTATTGCTTTCTAGGGAAGAATAGACATTACTATTGTTCTCCCTAAGTAAAGACTGAGATAACTAAGCTCCATACCTTTTTTAATTTGTATTTTACATAGTTGGAGAGGTGATAAATATATTTTTTATTGATCTGTCATGTAAATCTTCCAAAATCTATTAAGCATTGCAATATTATCTTAAAGCTTTTTATTGAAAATTCCAGTATTACCAAATCCTGTGTTATATTAACATGCTTATGCATGATCTATTTTTGTTAGAGTATAAACGGATCATGTTTTACTGTCTGTCTATATTTTTTATTGAGGGAACATTGGTTTACATCACTGTATATGATTTAGGAGAATGGGTTCACACCTCTACATGGATATATATCACCATAACACACTCCTCTCCAAAGTACCCATAATCCTTTAACCATAAACCATTAGGTTCCTTCTTCATTTGGTCTGCAAACCCCTCTTCCCTCCTTGGTAGCTTCAATTCTGCAATCAAATTTCCAGGTCTTTGTGTGTGTGTGTGTGTGTGTGTGTGTGTGTTTAACATAATTTTGTCTTCCTTAATTTTGTCTCTTTATAGTATACATAATGAATGAAGTAATCTAGATTTGTCTTTCTCTTTTTGGTTTATTTTTCTTCTCATAACACCCTCTAATTTTGTCTATGTTGTTGCAAATGGCAATATTTTATCTGTTTTTCACAGATGAGTA